CCAATGGCTAAGAGGGAATGGTCAGCTCCTGACCATGCCTGTTCTCCACGGAAAGGATGTGCCGTATTTAAGAAAACTGTTCTGATGGCTATGTGTTGGGTAGTTGGGAAGGAGAGAAGCAAAGATGCCTGAGAGTTGGATGTCTAGGTAGCTTGGGAAGCTATTGTAGTTTCAGCTCATGAACTGACTGCTTATATTAATACTTCCTGCCCAACCAGAAGAGCCTCTGCTTCTTCCAGAGAAGCTGGCTGACTGTCCTCGCCGACACAGCGTTGTGATAGAGGTCTCAGTCTGCCCTTGAACCTACAGGCCCTGTGTGTGTTGTCTTCGTGGCAGGTAATTAAAAGTTAATATTTGAAATGAGAGAACTCAAGCTGAAATAATGGCTTTGACTTAGAGTATCAGGAGGTCATATCCAGCCACATGAATAGCGATCACGTTCCTTCCTGGGCTCCCACCCACAGGGCGAGTTCCAGGGAAGTGTGCCATCCTGGCCAGGTTTCTCCTTCTAGATGGGCCAGGAGGATAAGTTCTGAATTGACAATGCCAGGATGGGTCAGGGTGTCGTTTGGCTGTACATGGGTGGTTTTTTTCTCTTTTTCAAAAACAGCTTTATAGAGGTATCATTGACCTAAGATACATAGCACATAGTTAAAGTATAAAATTTGAATAGTTCTGACATGTGGAAAAACCATTACCACAATCAAGATTGTGGTAATAATGAACACATCCATCATCCCAACAATTTCTGATACCCCTTCACAGTCCCTTCCTCCCCCACCTCATCCCCAGGCAACCACTGATCTGCTTTCTGTCACTATAGTTTAGTTTGCATTTTTAAAAATTTTATACAGATGGAATTATACAGTGTGTGCGTACTTATTCCTTCTCTCCAGTTCAGCCTAGGAAAAAAGGAAGTTCAATGAATGTGTCCTTGGGAATTTGTTTTGCTGAATTTAGAGGTGAGGGTAACGTCCCAGGAGCTGAGCTGACTGCTTGGCTTACCTGTGGTTGTTCGTCCTTGGTCAGACTTTTCCTGAACCGAGGCCAGGGTTTCACGTTACCAATCAGATTGGAGGCAGGAGGTTGTTGTTGACTTTCCAGAAATCATTGGCACAACTGCCTTTGGCCTGTGGGGTTTTATGAGGTGGTGGCATGATTGAGATAAGGATGGTGAATTCTATTACAAGAAGGTATTTCCTTGTCACTGGGGCTCTGGAAGGTGGACCCCATACTGTCATTGAAGATGCTAGCATTGCAGGAGCTGTGTGACCTTGGCTGAGCCCAGAGCCCCTGATGAGTTTCCCACTTAGAGGGTAAGGGCAGTGCTCCCTCTTTCCCTGGGTTGGAGTGAAGGTGCGTTGACACAGTCAAGGGTATACAAGTGGGGGGCATTACTGAGACCCCGGGTGACCTGTAGTCATAATTGANATTATTGCGCTCTTCCCCGGGCGAGGCAGTTGCTCGCCAGCTGTTGGACAGCTGCTCACAGCAGCTCATGAAAGCTCAGGCCCCTGCCGGCCAGCCCCACTGCAGCCTACGCCATGAGGCACAGCGTCACTAGCCCTAATGTGGGATCCGAACCGGGGCTCTACTGCTCAGAGCTGGCATCCCAAGCCAACTCTTATCCAACCCACCACTCGGCCAGCCCTCTTTTATTCTTTATAGTCTTTGGCATGTTCCAAATTTTCTACAACATACCCTTTTATAATCAGAAAGGAAGTTACATGAAAGGCAAATGTTCTTCTTATGGATTCAACTGACTAATCATTGATTAGACAAATATTTACTGAGTGACAAATATTTATAAATATATTTATTATGTTCCAGGCACTGCTGTAGGTGAACAAAACAAAGATCGCTGCTTTGACAATCTAGTGGGGAGAGAAAGACAATAAGCAATAGACATCATAAGAAATCCTACATTATGTTAGAAATGGATGGGTGCTGCGGAAGAAAGGGAAAGTAGGTCAGGTTAAAAGGGATCTAGAGTGGGGGGGTGGGGGGGTGGAAGGATGTCTAAGTTTTGTATTAGGTCGTCCGAGTATGCTTCCTTGTAAAATTGATTTGAGCAAAGGCGTGAAGTAGAGTTGGTGACGTGGCTGCCTGGAGGAGTGTCCTGGGCTGAGCAGCCAGGGGCAAAACATCCAGCATGTCCTCTTATGTTTATTCGTCTTTTGGGGAATCCTTTTGTAAAATGTTCAAGTCTTTTGCCCATCATTATATTGGATTGTCTGTTTCATTTTAATTTTTAGGGGTTCTTTATATATTATTTAAAAGAGGCCTTTGTCAGACGTATGTATTGCAAATAACTTCTATAGTGTGGTTTGTCTTTATAGTCTTCTAATGTCTTTTTATGAACAAAATTATGTAATGTAGCCTAATCAGTTTGTTCTTTATGGCTTGTACTTAAAATTCAGTGGATTTGAGGTATAGAATTATTCTAAAGAAGAACCCAGAAAATGTTCAACGCCTGCCATACCCACAGATGCCCTTGAGAAAAGCACTCTTTCTACATAAAGTGCTGTCTGCAAAATCAGCCTGTTTCCCTGGCCAGAGCCGACAGGCAGGGTTGGTGCCTTACCCAAGCCCATGTGCAGGTAGCACTTTGCGCAGGTGCTAAAGGTGCTAAAGGGTGAGGGTAAGGAAAGCGAGGCGCCCTGGAGGCACTTCCTTTATTCCTGATAGGCAGAGGTGTCTGGTGAGAAACAGACTCAGTCAGATCGTACCCCTTTGTGAAGAGTAAATGCTAGGCTAGATGGGAACCCATCTCCCCACCTTACCCTGGCCTAGCAGAGGAAGTAGCCATCCATCTGTCAAAAGTCAGTCCTTTCTTTGGGCTCTGGACCTAATTCTTTCCTACTTAAGGATGTCAGTCCCTTGATTGTGTCCTCTCCTCCATCAGCAGCCTTTCTCTCCATCGGCATATAGACATAGCTTACTCAAAACTCTATTATTGCCTGTTCCCCTTGTAGCCCCCCCCCCTTTTCCTCATTACAGCAAAACTTCTCAGCATCATCTCCACAGATTTCATTTCCACTTCTTCACCTCTCATACTTTTAGTTCAACCTGGCTTCTTTCTATTCAACCACCCTTTTTTTTTTNTTCACCCTCTTCGGGTTGGCCTGCTCCGGAAGAGTGGAGATAAAACGCATCCTGGGCAGGAACGTTAGGACTCAGAGGAGTCTGGGGCGAGGGTGGGGTGGGGGGTGGGACAGGAGAGGGCAGTTAGCACCTGGCCAGGGTCCCATAGCGATGTCACCCGCAGTTAACCAGGCACTCTTGTGCCCACAGACCAAGCTCCCACAAAGGCCCTGGGACACCCCAGGCTGGAGTCACTGATGAGGATCTGGACCCCAGGTGGGGCCGAAGGGCGTGGCCAGGGCTGGGCGTGGCCAGGCTGGGAGGGCTGGGGAGCGCGCTTGCTCCATGAGGGAAAGTAGTGCAAGGAGAGCGCTGGCGTGCCTAAGGCCTGCTGGTCTGTTCGCCTGGGCCTGGTTTTCTGTCTGCCCTCTTTTCTACTGTCCTTCACATGGACCTCCCTGGATACCCCCATTCTCTATCTTCCATCCTCCATCCCTCACCTTCCAAAGCTTTCTGCTGGGGTTCATTTTTGTGTGGAATCCCTCTAGGTTTAACCCTCCCAAAGGGTATAGCCAAGGAAAAGGTTAGCGTTGCATATCTGCACAGTGGCTGTGCTGGCCCCTGGCCACACGTGACTGCTGAGCACTTGGAATGTGCTTAATGAAATGGAGAAACTCGATTTATTTTATTTTGATAAATTTAAGAGCTGATAAGTGATTCAGTTATTTGGAAAACTTTTATTTGAAGCAAGAATGTGAATCTGCTTTTTCAACTGTAAATTTTATGAAGTCTAAATATAGAACAAATATTTTTAGTGAAAATTTAGCATCTGAATTGAAACGTGCTAGAAGTATAAATTACCAGATTTCAGAGTTACTACAAAAAAAATGAAACCATTTCATATCAAAATATTGATTATATGTTGAAATTATAGTATTTTGGATCTATTGGGTTATATAAAATATATTAAAATGAATGTCAGTAGTTTCTTTTGCCTTTTTTAATTTTTTGGTGTGGTTACTAGAACTTTAAAATTTCACACCTTGCATTATATTTTATTGTATTTCTACTGGGGTGTGCACTCCAGATTGTCTATTTAGCTGGATTTCAATAAGGAGGTAATGGCCAAGCTGAGGGAGAACGTGAGCCCTTGCCAACCCATGGCTCTCTCCATCACTTCCTGATCATCAGCCCAGATGAGTAGGGAGTTCAGAGAACGGGGAGAAAGGCTGTGGAGAGAGAAGGGAGAGGACTTTTGTTGCATCCATCTCCATCCTAGGGCAACTGAAGTGAAAACTGGAAGGTTCTCTAAATAAACAATGATGGTGCCTATTTGTAACCTTTACAGGACTGCCTCCTTTAGCAAACCAGGATGTGAAATTTGGATTTAGACAAAAGATGATATGGAGGGTGATAGCATATTTTGCAAAAAGGATCCAAAATAAGGTAATACAGTCAGGCAACTGAGAGAGGCTACCAGCCTACTACTAGGTACAATACCTACTACAGCAAAGAGACATAAGACCAGTTTTCTGTATTCATGGCACTCTGGTTAAGAACATCGCCCTCTTTTCGAAAACGTCCATCTCTTCAAAACTGACTTATTCTTCAAGGCCCAACTCAGATTTCCCTCTTCTCCCTGAGCCTTTTCCTGATCATCTAGACTTCCGGGAGGCTCTACTAAGTAAGCAGTTGTGTGACAGTTGTGTGACCCTGGGGATGTACACACCCTAGGCCTCCATCCTCAGTAAAGTGATTAACTACTTCAGTGTAGTTTCCTTGGGAGCCAGGTTCCAAGACCTGGGTGCAAAGGACATTATTCATTCTGATTGGTTACCTGTCACAATAGACAGGGAAGTACAAAGTGCTTTGCCAATAGTAGTGCTTTAACCTCACCTCCAAAAAAATCAGTCTGATGTGAAAAACTTATTTATAATTTCTCATATTTACAGTGTATGTCTTCATTACAATCATTCTTACAATAAATACAGAAGTGCTAAATGGACCGTCATCAGGGTGGCCTATGGTCCATCCGAGGGGGTGCTGCAGACCCCTGTGTTCCCCGAGGGCCAGCCAGGAGGCCTTCAGAGAGCTGAGTGAAGGGGAGAAGAAGTTAAGGCCTGAAATTGAAACAGGGTTATAGGCAATGCAGCAAAACCCTAGAATGCCTGTTAAGGAAACAGGTATAGGTTTTTACTATTTTTATCAGATGGTACTAAAGGAAGAGAACAGAGACTAAAGATCCCCCATTAGTGGGAGGCAGAGGAGCCCGGGCCCTCCCACCGTGTCCCTCCCTCAGCTGGGGCCATGTTTCCGTCATCTCTTCTGCCCTGTGCCCAGCACAGCGCCTGGGCCCCCCAGGGGTGAGTGGGAGGCAGAGTAGCTCCCCACACCACAACCCTGGTTTCCTTTAGTGGCGGCCGGTGTCAGTGGAATGAGCGAGAATCTGAGGAAAGGTTTCCGGTTCCAAGGTGGGTCCTCCGGAGTCCCGTAAGATCAGCAGGGAAGGTGACGGAGTTGACTCCAGGAGCCTTCTCCCTGCCTCGCTGCCTTTGTTTCATCTCAGCCATGGGGCCGAGAGCCTGGGCTGTGCTGAGGGGGTAGAGGGCAGGAGAAATGCCACGGTTTTCACCACCTAGTAAACCTCCCTTTTTATGAACAGCCATTGAGCCAGGTACAGTGGTCTCTCTGTTCCTTCACAGAATGTGTCCATTAAAGGTGTTGAGAGCTTTTTGAGTCGGTCCCACAGTTCTGGAGTGGTTCATGTTGGTTTCTGATTGGCAACTTCGGGCCAAGGCTAAGAAAGCATTACCTAATTCACATTGCTTGGTCCTATGGGTTGTCCCTGCTGTCATTTGATCAGCATCGGGTATGCTAATGGCAAGGTTGCATGCTAATGGCAAGGTCGCATGCTAATGGTAAGGTCGCATGCTAATGGCAAGGTCGCGATGCCACCCCAGGCTCCAGGGCTCTCAGAGGTCTTGTGCACACACACGTCCAAGTCCCCATTAGGTCATTTGTAACTGCCTGGCAAACAAGCTACAAAGACATAGGGCTTGCCTTCACTATGAAAAGTTGTGACAGTAGAGAAGGAAGAAGACTTCTCAGAGTCGAAGGGAGGAGCAAAAGGGAAAAGATGCTATGAAGAAACCTGTGCTTCAAGAGGACATTCCACGCTGTCAGAATGAGACTGTGAGTCAGAAAGTTCTATGAACGGCGAGCTGCTGGCCTTGAGAGGGTGGTGGTGAAGGTCCTTCTCAGTCCTGGAACTAATTGGTCTCCATGGGGCACTTACATCCATGGGAGGAGAGGGAAGGAGTTAAGTCTTCTCAGAAGTTGCCTTTGTGACTTGAGGGGAAGACCATGAAGAAACTTGGTAACATTCCATTATTTTGATCCCTCAATGCCACGCTGCCAGCCCCTGCACAGATAACTTCCTACTTTTAGAATTTGAAAATATATTTTAACTAAAGCTGTAATTCGACATCCTCCAAGTCAGAGAAGTAAGTCCCACTTCCAGGTTGACAGTAGGGACACCCCAAAGGTAGCAGAAATGACATTTGGGCAAAAGAGACCAAGCTCTTCAATCATTTTGAGTCTGCCTATTTTCTCTAGACTCAAAAGCAGCCTGGGTCATCTCAAAACTCACATCTGCTCTCAGTGATGCAAGTAGCAGCACATTTTCAAGGAATAGCCTAATGATAAAATCTGTAGCATATACAACATAACTGCCCTGCTGATATGATAGGCGGCCAGGCTTGGGCTTCACATTCCGTCCTTCTCACACTTATGGCTTGACAACTCCTGATTCCATCGTGAGACTCCTCCAGATCTTACGTGTCTTCTCATTCTCCCCTCTCAGGTCCATTCAGTGCATCCGATCCAAAGGACAGGACTTTGAAGATGCCTCTACTATCTTTCAAAGAATATCTCTGGTTTTCTTTTTGTCTCAGACACCTTGATCCTTCCTACAGCAATGCTTCTGACCTCCGCCCCCGCACCCCCCACCCCCAACCTCCCCAGTTGTAAGGTCAAGCTAAAGGTTTTTGTCACAGCAGGAGGAACTCAGAGGAAAACAACAACGCCTTCCCTCAGAAAACAAACTGAGTCTCAAAAGCAAAACCCAAGCAGAGGGTACCCATTTTGATCTGAAAGCTTGGACAAGGAGCAGAATTTCCAGGACACTTGAAACCACACTTGAGTGAACCCCTGGATAAAAGTGATTTTCAATCAGTAACAGCCCCCAGCAGGCAACCTGGTGTTGGCCCTCAGCATCCAGACCGCGTACTGGTCTCACACAGACGAAGCGGCTGCCTTGAGTTCCCGCCTCCTTGGTGCGCCCTTCCCACTCACAGTTGCACTGGGGTGGCGAGGCGCCCAGCGAGAGGTCCACTGAGGGTCTGGGGTGTTTGCAGGTTGAGCTCCAGAGAACCCTCAGGTATTTCAAGTGTCCAGGGAACCATAGCAAAGTCCTTCCTTCCTTTGGACATGCCTGGAGTGCCAGGGCCTCAGGCATGGGCCTCAGTCTCCTTCTTGATGGCCGGTTTGTAAATGACTCCTTTGTTGCTGTGGGCACCTTTTTTGCTATTGGGACAAAAAGAACACACAAGTCTTGTTAGTGAAAGAGGAGCGAGAGGCAGAGAGCGGCGTGACTCAGCTATGGAATGAGGCAAGTTTTAGGGATCAGATTCCGCTCCTGGGGAACTTTCCCCAATCCTGATCGGTCTTAGGAGGAGATGGCTGCACATAAAGCATTAACCAAAATGGAAACTGTTTGTTTTCCAACTGTTCTCTTTTAACACCTGACAATATTAGACCTATATTTTGGAGAGGTCCCGTTACCGCCCCCGCTTCAAACCTTTGATTCCATAACAGGGTTCTTGGCAACCTTTTTTTTTCAAATCAGGAAAAATACGGTTTTAGGAAAAAATAAACATGACAATAAAAACATGAACAAAGGGCATTAATAGTTAATGTGAGTAAGAAGTCAAGTTTTCATTCACTTTTTGGATTCAGACAAAAAACAGATGTAAAGATCTTAGAAGGAAGACAGCCTTGTTGCTTGTATTGAGGCAAATGGGACCTCCCCCCACTCCAAATCAAGAGACTCATCCACTGTTTTAGCCATGGCAGCAAGGCTGGCAGACACACCTCCCACTCTGAGCACAAAGACCCTTGAACGACCAGCGTCTTCTACAAAGGAGGCCACAGCTAGTGGTGTTTGGGAACCAGCACCCCTAGGATACTGTTGGTACATGTGACAGGGGCTCTTCATTCTGCAGGCCTCCTTCCCAGACAGATGAACTCTCATGGACACATAAGCCACCCACAGTCATTTCCAAACAAAACCAGCTCACCTCTTCTTCCTTCTGAAAAGCCAAATGGATACTGCCAGGACAACACAGATGCCGAGAATGCCGGCCAGGGCCACCGAAAGGATGATGCCTGGTGAAGAGGCAGTGGACACACGTTATATTCCTACCTTCCCCTTCATCGCATCCCATCGCTCATGGGTGTGAAGTCAAGTGACTGTTGCATAATCATCCACAGAGAGGTGTAATTTCCCCACCTCTGTTCTCAGGTTCTGGTCTTTGGCTTAGCAGGACTGGCTGGAGTACTTAGAGGGGGCCATTTGCAAAATTGTAGTCATTCTCCTGCAGGGGTTCTCAAACTTGCACCAGGATCAGAAGAGCTTATTTTAAATGTAGACTTTTTTTTATTTTTATTTGAGCCCAAACCTCAGAAACTCTGATTCAATCTGGAGTGGAGCCCAGGAATCTGCATTTTTACCAAACACTGCTAGCTGATGCTGATGTACGTGGTCCATGTACCACACTTTGAGAAACCCTGGGCTACAAAATAAGAATTCACTTTGTCTTTGCTTGCTGGTTTTAAGGCCCATGGGGATGCCTCTTTGTCAGGGCTGCCCCCAAGTTTCATCGCCCAGTCCTAGCAATCCAAAACAACCAGGGGCCCATTCCCAAGGTTCCTAGCCAGTCACCCAACCTCCACATTGGGCTCAGGCATGTTTTCAGGCAATGGCTTACCACCATGGCCAACAGAAGGTCTTGGATAGGCTCTTTGAATGTACACATGCTGTGTAGAGTGATTAGGTCTTTCATTGGGGGAGCATTTGATTGGCAGTTCATCTTTGAATCAGAGAGAGATGTGAGGGTAAGACCCACAGTGAGAGGGGGGCAGGAGCCAGAGCGACAACACCAAAGCACAGAGGATGGGCTGGAAGTAGCACAGGCCCAGATCACACCGAGAATCACAGCCATCACCCAGCTGCAGCATGCACGGCCGCCGGCCACATACCCAGACTCAGTCCTGCGTGGGTAAGGTCTTGCACTTCAAAGAGGGAGGAAAAGATTGGAAATTCACCGAGTCAAAACGGGGTGCATTTGACCAGTGTGTTGAAGCTCTGTCTTTTGTTTGCTTGGAGGTATTAGGCTTATGCAGACTTTCTGGGGGTGTTTGCTCTTGACCCAGGTGCCTGATGGGGGTAGAGGGAATTGCCCACCTAGGGGATCCACACAGTGACCCCTCCCTCCGATGCTCCTTAATCACAGCAGTCTTTTTTTTTTTGCTAGGGCGAGACTTCAGCTTTCAATACAAAGTGGCCAAAGTGGAGAGTGAGGAAGGATAATCAGAGTTTACTTGGGCAGGCTGTTATCTGCTTCTCTGGTCCCCACCCCTCTTCCTCAGCAAGGAACCGGCCATGTTCTGGCTGGCTGGGGCTGCTAGAGCTTAGTTGGAACCTGTCACCAGACTTCTGCCCCATCCCCATCCAGTCTCGTTGTCATGGTTTGGTTCTATTTTTGCTTTGGCCCCACTGGATAAACTGGAGAAAGCCTTCCACCGTACCAGTCTCCCTTCCCTGCTATATGGAACTAGAGAATTGTGGCTTCTCTCCTCGAGTTAATATTAGAGATAAATGGGGTGAGTTAGGAGTCCTCAGTGGACCTGAAATAGGGCCCAGCTATCTAAGGAGAAATCCCATAGGCAGCCTAGTAGGGTCCTCCCTGGGGGAGGGTTATGGGTGACTCCATCTTCGTGAATAAGACACAGGAGCCCAGTCATGAAGTCCCCCTGGGTTTTCCTAGCCAGCTTCTTCCAGGTTCTTAGAACTACTCCCCATTCTCCCAATCCGGTCTGCTATCTAAAGAAAGCCACTGTTTACATATACAGTAATACCTTGGTTTGCGAGCATAATTTGTTCCGGAAACAAACTACTCGTATTGCAAGACATTACTCATTTACCATGTTAAAATGTATTAGAAATGTTTGCTCGTCTTGTGGAACACTCGCAAACCAAGTTACTTGCAATTCAAGGTTTTACTGTACACTCATGTCTGGTGGTTTTCTGACCTCAGTAGAAACTTCTAATGGGTGTGTGAGGGGTGGGGGGAGGAGAGGAGGGGATGCTTATCCCAGTTCACATTGGAAGCCAGAGTTGTACAGACCGTGGCTACCCAGCCCAACACTCAGGAGAGCCTGTGCCTGTAGAGCCCACTGTAGTGACTGAGACCCTGGGTGAGCCCTGACCAAGTGTGAGATGCCAGCAGAGGGCCAGGGACTCATCCTTGGGTCACTTGACACCCAGGGAACCAGACCTGAGGCTGCAGGATGAGGTTTTGCTCATCGCCTTCTCTTGTCAAGTGGCCAGAGTGTCTGATTCCCAGAGGCGTCAGCCCTATGTCTTTTCCCTACTGTCCTCTTCTACAGCCTCATGTTGAGCTTGTAGCCCCTCTGTTCCAGTGCTGGCCCCTAGAAACTTCTGGTTTGGCTTCCCCAGGTGGCCCTGGGCTGTTGTAAGGATAAACAGAGCTGGTATGGACAGGAGCTGTCCACAAAGGACAGGGTGGCCTGTTCTCTTGGCTCTTGTCGGCCACCACCAGCAGCCCATGGCCTCCCAAGTGGCAGAGAGAGTAGCTCCCCAGCCCGATTCACTGCCCCAGGCCCCTTCTTGTAACCTGAACACAAGGATCCCTCTATGGCTTGGGGAGATGCTCAGGACATGAGTCTCCCCCTGGGGAGAGCATCATGAGAGCATCGAGTGTTTGTATAGCACATGTTCTGTTCCCTGCATGGCTGTGGCCATGGCACACTGGAATTTGGTACTTTGGGTTTTTTTAAGGTACCTGGAGGTGACCAAGGCCTCTAGGATCTTAAAAACAACAACCTCCCAAAATCCCAACTAGTCATGGTTTCCTTTCCAAGCTTTTTGATGAAATACACTTTTGTTCTTTGTTCTTAAAACTCCAGATGCTTGTGGTACCAAACTAGTTCTCACCACATAAGACTATTGCTGGTAAGCCTAACCACTTGGCTAAGCTGTCCAAACTGGATGGTTTCTCAAGTCGTCGCTTTCACAGGCACCTCAAACATCCTGAGAACCACAGGGCTCCCAGACAGCTGAGCAGCCCCACTCTTGGGCTGGAGGAGGTGCCCCCATGCCAAGGTCTTAGGGAGCTGAGCATTCTCAAGGAAGCAAGGCCTCCAGGGATGGGACTTTTCTTAAGAGCACGTGGCCCAGCTTGGTGGCTTATCTGGAGGGGGAGTCTGGCTTTCCTGGTTCACCGAGCAGCGCCCTTGGCTGTATGAGGCCCTAGAAACAATAGCCTAATTTAATCCAGGGCTCTAGCCTAGGTTCCTTGCTCCTGGATGACCACTTGTCAGGGCCTAAGTTGTCTCTCCTTGGAAACAATGAAGGGAAACCAAGCAGCCACGAAGACAAGAAAAGCCCCAGAGACTGGGACAGATGCTTTCAGCCAAGACTTTGATGCAGCAAAACCAAAGCAGCTTGACTAAGCAAGCAAAGAATGTAAGCTCCTATGGAAGAGGAATGGCCACAAGGGTGTCACCTCCTAAGAATTCTACCCCACAGGAAGCCCAGGGCAGGAAGATGTTGGCAAGATATCTCTTGCCAGTTGAGACAGCACCAACCATCAAGGAAGCAGGCTTCTCTGCAGAGCTGGATAAATCCCACAGAGCTTGGGTCCCATGGAAACTAGATGGCAAAGCATGTACTGACTAAAGGGAGAGGGAAAGTCAGGGAGAATGTGTGTGGGGGGGTACAGGGAGAGCTGTTGGGGCAACTAGAGAACTACAGCCCAGAGAGAGAAGCCAAAGATTGCATCATAGCAGAGCCTCTGGGATGTTGTAAAGAACAGGCATCAAAGATGGTCCAGGGACGTGCAGAACCAGAGGAAGTCATCTGCAGAATAAGCAAAGAAATCGTTTGTTTCTGAACGGCGAATAAGGCAGGCAGTTCCCACTGAAGAACAATGGGACAGTTAGGAGAAATGGAGATAGGCTGGTTGACAGAGATGGCCCGCAACCGCTACTGGGTAAGAATGCAGTGAAGGGACTCCTGAGCTGGCTGATAAGAGGGTGCATGTTGTACAGATGTGGGGGAGCCACCCATTCATAAAGTGCTCCGGTACGTGTCAGGGCGAGCAGAGATGGGGCAATACGACACACAGAAGAAAACACACAGATACAGAAGGACTTGACTGTCACATGCCTCGCCCAGGAAGGTACAGACCCCCGGAGAAGATCGGCACGCTGCTTGCCACAGGGGCGTTGCTACCTGGTCTGGCTGGCTCAGGAGCTGCGTCTTCCGCTGGCATCTTGCTGGACCGAGGGATGCTGGTTAACTGCTTTTGAGGTCTTCTGAGGCCTCAAGTGCAAACACAGAAAAGCCCAGCGGGAGGAACAGGCACCTCCTTGACACAGCTTGCATTTCCTGGAACAAGTCTAGCATTTTCTAAGTCTACTTGCAATTCTGTTTATTTAAACAGAATTTCTAATAAAAAGGAATACAATCCTTTTCCTTTCACAATATTATTTTGAAGTGTGGACTGACTGTCTTGGTAGGTGACATATAGTGATATATATATATATATATATATATATATATATATATATATATATATATATATATATATGTCTTCAGCAGTCTCTGCTCTGGTAAAAGAGGCGGAGAGAGTTTTGGTAATCCAGTTTTGAATTGTAAAAAGTCTTATTATTATGCTTAATACAAGTCATAGACTCCAGTAACTGAAATGCTAGACCTCTCTTTGGATGATGCTTTGGTAAAAAAAGCGAGGAAGGTGTCCTCAGTAACCACAGAACATTACTATCTTTGGAGGACATAACTGAGGAGTTGTCTGTATTAACACTATACAGAAATAAACCAATAAAGAAATAATTTCTACAAATACATCTGCCTAAAAGATAGCAGTGGAGTACATAAGGGAATTGGTTTTCTATAACCATGGTAGGGACTGAGGGCTTTGCCTCCCAGATTGCAGTAATGCAGGCCCAGAAGAAAGAGCTACATTGCTGTGAGGGGCCTAAGCCTTGGGGCAGTAGGTGCGGGTTACAGTGCCAGCACCGGGGCTTAGTACCCTCAGCTCCCGTTGGTGGCCAGGCTGACTGTTTTGAAGGGCGGATGGGTGGTGAGACTGGGGCCTTCTGTCCCTGTCAGGTCAGAGCAATGGAAAGCCTGAGAGCACCTCTAGGCAACTCCCTCCTAGACCGTCAAAACTTGGCAGCTAAGTTGATCTTTAATTTTTCTTAAACAAATGGATTTATTTACATGTTGTTGGCAATTTGATAACAAAACAAAATAAGACTTAATAAACCTAAGTTTGACAATTGGTCAGGCTTATGTTCAAATCTTTCTGCAAAGAAGACACTTGTGAGGATAGAGAAGGGACAGGAGGCAGGTCAGTTACATTCTTTCAAACTTGTCATGAGCACCAGGCACAATGCCAGGCACAAAAAGCATCCTTCGGGGGCTTGTAGTGTGTGGATAATATAGACATCGTTTCTTTTTTTCCTTTTCTGTATTGTAATAGATCTTCACCCTGTGGTGTGCTAAGAACCATAACAGAGCTGAGCAGTTTGTCCCGCCGCATTGAGGGAGACCTAAGTCACCTTCGGGGAATGGAGAGGATATGCTTAGAATTGGGTCTTCAAAGAATTCTCTAGGTGGAAGAGGTGTGGGGCATCCTAGACAAAGGGACTAGTGTGGGCAAAGTAAATAGTGTCCACATGTGAAGAAAGCACCTGCCATGCTAAGGGAGGCCCTGCGGGGTGTGGATGGGTACCAGGGAGCGACAATGCTGGAAGATCAGCGGGGCCACCTCACTAAGGGTGGTTCCAGCCTTCTGCCTGACCCATTTTCCCGCTGTCTTTCCTGAGCAGGATGTGCTGTGTGCCAGAGGCTCGGTGTTAGAAGCAACACAAGATCCTTGGTGGGGCTTTCTGTTTCCCCTAGTGCTTCACCTGAGGTGTGCTCAGGAAATACATGGTATGCTGAGTTACAATAGATGAAGGACTTCACTGCTTTAGCATATTGGATGATTATTTCTGACGATGCAGTGCCCTGTATCCTGGGGGAATTGACAAGTAGGAACTCGTCTGGTCTTTCATTTGGATGCTTTGGAAGAATTGATACCTTTCCATCTAATAGATTTTATTTATAAATGGGAACTTTTAGACACACAAGGGCAATAACCACAAAGCATGCATTCGAGTCTTAAAAAATTAGATAATTAGCCATCTTAGCTTTCTAAGACTTTTCTCTTTCTTATTTTTAAAGGTTTTATACATTTATCCAATTCCCTCAGGGTCAAGCAGATTCTCACTGTGGAGAGCCCTACCCCTCTACTGACCAGCGCCCTGTGTAAGTGCCTCAGCTGGCTCTGGGGACATGCGGTTACTCAGAGCAAGCCCACTAAAGACATGATTATAGAAACTTTTTGGCTCCCTCCTGTCCTTCAAGGTTCCCTTGCCCTGACATGTTGAAATAGGGCTAGATAACATTAGTATTTAGCTTTGACGGGCTCTTGCTTTATTAACCTTCATCTGGACCCAGTGTTAGTTTCTTTGGCTGGAAAGAGTTCAACTTGAAGGAACCAAGAATTGGGCCCCTGAACTGTAAACCTGCCTCTGCCGTCTTTCTCCTTCCTCTACCGGACATCTGACTTCCTGTGAGATCTGGAATAGTCCCAGGATGTGTTCCCTCCTCCGGAACCCAACCTTGAGAATAAGAGTCTTGTTTCCCTTCTTCAGCTCAAGTTTTCCATTTGTGCCACTTGGAAGAGGCACTTTTTAGAGCTGAAAAAAGTATCTGGCATGACTTACACCTCTCTATAAAGAGTGGACATTTGAACCAAGGGCAAGGAAACATACAATTTATGAGAGAAAAACTTGTACAAAAGGGAAGGAGAAGAAAAATGATGAGGGGGTTGCGAAGATAGTTGCTACCTCAGAGGCGCCTGGAAGCCTGATAAAAGGAGTTGTAATCTTAAGGGTGAATAGTTCTCTCATCCACTTCTCTTAGCCTTGGACATACCCAATTACATAAAAAGAATATACAGTAATTCCTTGGCTTGCGAGCATAATTCATTCCAGAAACAAACTACTCGTATTGCAAGACATCGCTCATTTACCACGTTAAAATATATTAGAAATGTTTGCTCGTCTTGCAGAACACGCACCATGTTACTCGCAATCCAAGGTTTTACTGTATACTCAAGTTCTAAAGGAAAGTGGGGCCCAGAATTTCTCTTGGGTTTCGTTGTTCTAAGTTAGTAACCCTAACCTTATTGTTTCAGGGTGACCATCACCAGACTGAAAATGTCATGCTGTAATAGAATAAAGACCAGGGCATGTAATATAAAACTCTAGAATCCTGTGATATGAGTGGGAAAAAATCAGTTTGGGGCTAGGAAAGGCATTGTACCGTCCCTGGGGCAGTGGTTCTCGATCAGGCAGTTTTGCCCCTCCTCTCCCGCAGACATCTGGCCATGTTTGGAGACATTTTTGGTTGTCACAAGTTGGGGGATGCTACTGGCATCTAGCAGGTAGAGGCCTGGGATGCTGCCAATGCTACAATGCACAGGACAGCCCCCCACAACAAGCATGATCCAGCCCCAAAATGTCAATAGTACAAGGGTTGAGAAACCCTGCCTTTGGGCTAAGTCATGGTTAGACTATATACCTCTTGAGGACAGAAATCAGGTCTTGTACTTCTTTTCTAAACACAGTTGAGGACAAAGCAGGGTCAAGTTTGACAATTCAGCCCCAATTGTTCCAATTTAGTTAAACCTCAGATCCTCCCTTCAAAGTCCATGCACTGTCTCCTAGAGGATTTTCTTAACATTACTTTTCTCTTGGCGAAATTTTCTAACTCCATAGTTCCTGATAACTTCGAAAGAAAACCCTGAAAAAACTAGACCCAATTATTGGGTTGTCGGAAAAGTCATGACGCATTTTTGCAGCGAAAAACATAGAAAAAATACGTCATGACTTTTCTGACAACCCAATACAAACAAGCCTCAGTGGCAAAGGGTACAAATAATTGAGTCCAAATTGCTCAGGGCTCACGCTGACAGACATGCTCACCCCATAAATCTGAAACAGCATGTCAGGCCTGCTTCAGGTTGGTGTGAGAAGGCCCTTATAAATGCAGCACCCCTGGGGGGTGAGGTTTGGGCGTCACTCCTCTGGGGCTGCCTCCTCATTGTTCCTCGGTAGCAGCCCTGTTTGGGGCCTGCATCTTTTAGAAGTGAGAGGGAAGGCAGAATTCTGGCCAAGTTTCTATAATCAGCCTCCAAATGAACCAGTTTGCCTTGGACTGCCATGGACTCTCACTCCCAAGGAGAGAGCTGGGCCCAGCCTGAGCTCTTGAAAGCAGCAGCTCTGGCTGAGCTGTGCAGAAGAAGCAGTGGCAAAGCTGCATTTGGCCTTTGATCTTGGTGTCCTAAGCCAGGAGGTGGTCTGGGGGCTTCTGCCTAGGGGCCCCTCAAGCTCCCTTAGCCAGGCTGGGAGGATCTACTGAAGCGCTCTGGGCTGCACTGCCCACTCTACAAGCGCCCACTTAGACCTGAGCTGGTCTAAGAAGATGGCTAATTACTCCCAATGCCACAATCCATCATCACAAGGGGGGGTTACTTTGGGATGTCAGACTCAAGTTCCTGCATGGTTTCTTCTGATCCTCTGTAACTGCCCTCACACACTGTCCCTGTAATGTAAAGTCAGGATGGGCAGTTGTTAGTGTCCTCTTAGAATTATGACATGTCAGCACCGAAAGGACGTTAGCTTACCTAGTCCAACCTGTCATTCAGTGGCTGAGGACACCAAGGCGAGAGAAGGGACATAATCTGCCCACATCATACCGCCAGGAGGAAACAAAGCAAGGCCTTGAACCTAGGTCTCCTGACTATAGGGGAAGTATTTGCCACCCTGTTCCCTGTGATGTGTGTAGACTAGCCCAGAGAACAGAGCTGATTATTATCCTTGAATCACAAATTGTACCTGATCTATGTGGGCAGAAGTCCCTTATCTCCAGGCAGAGTTTTTATGTTTTTTTAATTTTATTTAAGAGGTAAAGTATTTCCATTGAACGTTTGACTACTACATACTCCACTTAGAGGAACAAGAAAAGAGAAAGTTATATCCAAAATAAATCACAAAGGGATAATGCTCTACATTTGAGGCCTTTCCTAGGAAAGAAGACTTCATAGTCATCATCATATCCATTCTCAACTTTTAGGAAGGTCCATTGTTCACAGATTCAGTTCTCAGACCAGAAAAGGGAGAAAAGGAGGGGAATTACCTTGACTAGCAGTGTCTGGATAGAACACAAAAGATAAATTCCTGGGCAGTTCTTGATTAATTAACTGACCTAGAAGGACGTAACCATATGAATGGGTCGATTCAGAAGGGCATGTTTCTAAAGCTTTCTGCCAAGACTTTGGAATACAACCTTCATCCGTTCAACTAAGCTTAGTAGGTGATAGTTATAATCTCACACAATAAGAAAGGAACAAAATAAAAGGTGCCCCGGGTGAGACGAGGAGAGCTGTTTCTCTGACAAGTGGCTTATGGGGCCAATAGGAACACCTGGCCCAGTGCAGTCATGTGATGTGTAAGGGGCTAAAGTGGCATTCCCACAGACCTACACTGCTTCTGACCACCTGGAACTCCAAAATTGGGAGCAGCTCAAGCACCTACAGCGAGAAAGGAAACTTGGAGGTTTGAAGAAGGGTGTGGGCCCCAAGAGTGCTCCCTTACCCTTTTCCCGGGCCCTAGCCTCCAGCAGTATTGATGTAGGTACTGAGCAGGCAAAGATGTCCTTCTGGGGAGTTATGGTTATGGTTATGGATTTAAAAGGAAGAACTGAGATTTCATAGCGTTAGATGTAAACCAAACTATTAACGTTTCAATGAGGAGAGATGCTGTGTGCTTGTGCTTCAGCAAGCTTCAAGAAGCTGAGACAAAAGGCAGTGAGGCAGTGCCGATGCCTTCTTGCCTGATGAGCCCTGCTACATTAGACCATGAGCAGCTTGTGACCACAGACGTGGCTCCTTATAAAGGAGCATCTCTGGACATTGGTGGTGCCGGCGGTGAGGCACCTGAAGACTAAAGATGGGCCTTGAGCCCAGAAAGCCTCAGATAAGAAGTTAGAAGTGGGATCTCATGGAAAAGGTCCTGGCACGTATCTTAGGAGAAGGGGTAGTTCTCCAGAGCGGAGAGGTCGCCCAGAACCCCGTCTCTTCCCCATCTGTGGGAAACTCCCAGACTTAACAAGGGCTCTGGTCCGTGCACCTGGAGGCCCTGGCTTGTGCTTCCCTGCAAAGGCTCAGGGAAGTCAAGCGCAGTGGAGGGAGACCTCAGTACACCCATACCCAGTAGCTCCTTGTGTACCTGGTTCCCTGGGCAGCCAGAGTGCTCTTAACCCATCTAAGGGCATCGTGGACAAAGCCTGAGGCTGGCAGGGCACTGGACTTCATACAAATGAACTGCTTTGCACCACACTCCCGCCCCACCCCCACCCTGCGTCTCCTTACTTTGTCGGAAGGAGATGTACACCAGCCTCTCATCAAACTTCTGGACCCGCCGGAAGTTGTTGACCATTTTTCTAGGGGATGGGTCATCCTTGTGTGTGCAATACAGAGCCGTCTCCAAAGCCAGCAACTTTGGAAAGAAGAACAGAAACACATCCTGCAGGCAGAGCGAAAGTTCCCTTGCCTGACTTCAGCGGGGAAGAGACTGCCAGCTCTCACCTCCAGGGCCTAGGCAGGAGGCACAGCAGAAAGCAGTGGGGGAGCCAGAGAACTAATCTCCTCCGCTGCGGTGTCTGGGTGACTGCGCACCGGCTGAGCTAGTCTGGGGGAAGGTTAGTGCTGCTATCACCTGAAATCTACCCTGCAGGGAGGGAAACCTGGGGCGCTGGAGGGGCTCCTCAGCCCCTCCTGGAGACTGTACTCCTCTCCTGAGCTTGGTTTGGAACCCAACTCTAAATCAGAGGCTCATTCTAAAGGTCCCATCAAAAGGAACAAAAAGAGGGAGGCGAGAGCTGCACAGGTCATCTGACTGCTGCTCCGTGGAATTTTCCTACAGCTACATAGATTATATAATCTGTTTCCAAGGCAGTTTCTGGGGTAGGATGTTACTGCTTTCCCCGCACACTGCACCTCTTGATGCCTCACGGTTTTATTCCTGTCCACTTACTGGCTGCCCTTTATCTAGGTTACTCAGGTCAGTAGCTCATAATAAAAATGAGGGCTCGACAATGAGGGCTGTACTGGACTCATAAAAGAGGGTAACGGGTGGGGTGGGCCATGAGCCAGTGGGCAGCGCTGCCCCTGGCCCCCCAGCTCCTGGAAGCCCTTCTTCTTCTCGATGAGCTGAGGCTGTGGAATAGAGGGACAGACAGTGACCTGGAACTCAAATCTGACTTTGGGTCTTAGCTCTGTCACTAATCAGTGGTGATCCTGCAAGTTTCTTGTACTCTCTAACCCTCATTTTCATCACCTATAAAATGAGAGGGTTAGAGATGATTGCGAAGGATTCCGCTCCCCAGTTTTGCACTAGACTGTGAGCTTCTTGAAGGCAGAGATCCTCACTTAGTCATTGCTACAGTCCCATCTCCCCCAGTTTGTTAAACAGTTTAGATGAATCCTATGTTTATTCTGCCCCTGTAAAGGAACCGTGATCTCTCCTGCCTGGGAGGTGAACACCATCCACTGAGGGATATATTAGGGAGTGTAGCTTAACAATTCTTTTTTTTTTTTTTAAAGAACTGTGGAGATGGATTCATTTTCCTAGCTCGACTTGATAGCTCCACATGTGAAGCTCAACCTGTAAATTCTGCAGCCTTCCAAGCACCTGTGACATTTGGAGAGGTTTTGAATAGCTGCCAGTGAAATTCTAAGGAAACCAAGTCACTGATTACGATATGGGTGATACCACGTGGTCTCTGACGAGGAGGGGCACCACCGTTACCTGCTCCTGGGAGATTTGCACAGGGTTCCTGAAAACCGTCCAGAGCACAGAGGGGTGGCAAGGAGGGGTGGTCAGGGACCCTTTGTAGCGGTAGTACTCAGCAGGCCTCTCGGGCAGCAGCTCTTCAATGCTGAAACCCGGAATCAGCACTTCTTGGCCTGGAGAGACATGTTGGGGGGTTGGCGTCAGCCCTGCTCCCCATGGCAGAGGTGCAGCTGAACATATGACTCAGCCTAGATACATGAACTGGTCCTTTTCTGGGCCATCTGACCCAAGGCCTGGTCACAGCACCCGCCCCCTGCATTCATTTTTCTTCAGGTCACACAGGGGCAACTACATTCTTCTCCAACAGAGGGTGAATTAGCATCCCAGTACCACTCGTACCTTTATACTTTACATCTTGAAGGTGACTGAAGATCTTATCATAGGATGGATTGAAGGAGCCAATCTGCAACAGAGACAGGGCTGTTGAACGCAGACAGAATTCTATTGGCTGAGCCTGGATTGACAATTGCTAATAGGAGGGCTGGATTGGGAGGGATGTGGTCACCGCTGCCAGGCCCTCCCTGTGGGATGCACTTGACTAGGACAATTATGATGGGTCACTAGGCTGGTTGGGGGTTGGTGTAATGGTCCCGCCCCCTTGCATGTCAGGCCATTCTATTTTCAGCTCAAGGCACTGGGGCTTTAATGGGCCTTTTATACCCCAGGGCAAGGGGTATAACTTGTGCTCCTGATTATCTGGCTGTGAGCCTGAAGGCCACAACTAGCATGTTTTCTAGCCAGAACTTAAGGGAGCTTTGAGTTCATGCAAGCCAAGTCAGGCAGATAAGCGTGTTGAGAAACCAGGTACATGCTTCTTCACTAGGGAAAAATAATGCAAGTGAATCAGGAGACATTCCCATTTCCTGGGATTAAGGAAGGAACTCATTCTAGGGTCCATACAAAGGATGGAGCTTGGGTACCAGGAGTTGTATTATGGGTTCAGGAATCTGATGGGGCACATTGAATGATTCCCCCCCACCCCCCACCCCCACGGGTCCTATCCAACGGGGCAATTCCATGCCTTATGCAATAGGACTGGGGACTAGGGCTCATTGTTCCAATGTCACAAAGGACATGCCTATTTCTGCTGCCCAATCACTTGGAGAAAGTGCCGTCTCCGGGCCAAGAGAGAAGGGACCCTATCGGGGAACACCCCCTGCTCTAGAGGCAGGACATAGCCAAAACAGGAGTGAGCCACAATACATCCAACAGACAGGTGTGCATGGAACCAAACGCCAAGTCGGATGTCATCCCACCTTCAAATTTCACGTAAAATCCCTTAACACCTCTTACCTCTATGAGAACAGCTAGGACAGCGAGGCCTTCTGACTTGTTACTGGCGGTGCTGGCGTTGGGGTACAGGTCCGAGTTATAATGGACAATATGCAGCTGCAGTGGGCGAGAAGCCGCTTATAAGGGATGGGCAACTCCTGGGAACCTTTCGCATTTGCAGAAGAGTGGCATCCAATAGGGAGGACAGACCCCCTCCCAGGTGGATTAGGCCGTCCCAGTTTCCCTTTTCCCTCAGTCTTCTGGACTACAGACTTCGCCAGGGTAGACTGTCCCATCCTATTCACTCAATGTATCCCAGTGTCTGATATGGTACTTGGAAAGTACCAGGTGCATAATAGGTATTGAATGCATGAGTGAATGGGTTTTTAAACTAGCCATGACAAAGCCTGGGTACTTTGGAGTACTGCATCCTTCTGATTTTTCTTACTTGTCCTGGAGCCTGGGGCAAAACGGTCTCATGGGGCTCTCCCAGCCTCAGCCTAGGCACTCTGCCCTTGATCTGGCAGCAGTGGGGGCTGAGACGGTAAACCTCCAACAGTAACTTAATCGTATTTGTATCCAGAGCAGGACATATATTTATCTCTCAGGTGGAGAAAATCACAGCAAGGCTTTTATAAAGGTTTTATCAGCCATATTTTAAGAGGCCATGAAGCAAGAATGTTACTCCATGAATGTAGACTTTTGCCTTTACACAATCAAATTCTAACCTCATTTTATTCAAAGCAGAAATTGTCATTATTAAAGTTAGGGAGAGGGGAGTGGTTGAGAAATCTTAGGTTTAAAAAGTCTGGGCAAGTAGGAAGACATTATTATGACAAATTCTGACAATGTTTAACCTGATTTTTCATCCTGAAGGTGGTGTCACTTGTTCTTCAAAAAACTACCTTAGTAGATAGATTTATAGATATGACACATGCATTTTTGTTGATTATTTGCCTCTTGGGACTAGGACACATTGATATTTTTATCTCTCTTTATTCATCTCTTTTTCCATCTTATGTGGTTATAAATAGAATTCAAGAATCTTTTATTGACTACAGCTCATTGTTCCCTGCTATTCAAGTGTCCCTTTCTAATTTTTAAAAATGATATCAAATTATTGCTTCTTTTAAGTGGTCCTCTATTAAGGATGTCCCAGGGGCTCCTACTTCACCGTTGTTCCCCCGAAGGATGTAGCCTCCGGTGTTGCCCCCTTCCCTCCCCTCGTCCCCCCCTACACACACACACACACACACACACGCACGCACACACGCGCACACACACACGCACACAACATCTTGGCCTGGCATCACTCTGACAAACGGAGCAGAATTCTATGTAGCTAAAACCCAAGGTTCGAGATCCTTATTTCTTTTTACAGCTGACGTTTGTGTTTGTGGTCTGTCTTAGCACTTTCCTCGCTAGGTTCAGATTAAATCAAGCGGCGATAAAGACTAATACAAACAGAAGGGAATTTCCTGCTGAGAGGATTAAGAGAATCTTCTTATATAGACTCAATCCAGAAGAAGACCCTCCACAGGGAATCTGCCACTCTAGGGTTAGCTTGATACATTTTCCTGTCTCATTGATATTTATGGTCCATCTTCGCCAGGCTCTTGGTCTAATGATGTGACTCAATAGCAGAAAATATAACAAGAAATATTTTTAAATGTCCAAACCCTCCCAGCCAACACCTTGACTCTTATCTTTATTCCCCACGGGAAAGTAGAAGCCTCCACATTGCAATTAGCCTGGAAGAAATCGCAGTCCTGGAGGCTCAGAGAGGGGCCGGGTCTGAAATATGTGCACCTCCAGTAGTGCCGTCATATTGGAGCAGAATTATAGTCCCTCCACTCTTGTAACTCAACCTATAATTAGCCTGAGTCATTAAGCAGTTCAGCAATTAAGAACAGAGGACAGTGGTCATGTCATTATTTACTGTGGGCTCCACTGGATGATCAGCAGCATTTATCTCCTTGTATTGCCCTGTAAACGTTCAGAACCACACCCCCAAGTTCAAGCCCACGGGAGCTCTGAAATGGAGTAACTCATCCCCCCTTTCCACTGCACACTTGTAGTGCAGGTACAATGCTCTGAGTTTCTTCTTGTTTTCCTTTGGCATTTTGGGTTAGCACCGCAGGGCGACATAACACAATGCTGTGCTGACATCCCATGCTACCCTCAGCTTAGTCTCTGGTTGCCATGATGCCCTGCACATTATGATGCCAGTCATCCCTTGATTTGTGGTCAAGCAGAAGAATAGCCCTGGATCTGGGTCTCCAAGCTCCAAGAATAACCCATGACCAGGAAAAGGAAAGGTGGGTTGGGAAAGACCTATGCAAACAGCATGGCATGGGAAGAAAGACTGGGGGAGCCATTAGCCCAGTGTGATTCAGCAGTGGCATGCATCAGCCAGACAAGGTGGTGAGATCTTAATCTGTGCAAACAGAAGGGCGATGTCTAGAAAGGACCATGTGTGTCCCACTGTGCCGCCTGGGAGCATGCTTCCTTCTGAGCACCTTACTCAGTAAAAGCCATAAGACAAACTCAGCATGTTCAGGAGGGGAAGGGGATCAGGACACCACCGAGGAGCTGCAGGGTGGCCAGAGTGGCTATACCTTCCTGTGCTACTGACAGGACCGGGTGTGGGTGTGCAGAGATTGAAGGCAGCTCCCACTCCAACCTCCCCCATGCTCTGATCTTGTCGGCATACCAGCCAAGTGGAAGGGTGCCAGACCACCCACTGCCAGGCGGCTTCTGCCGGCCTGGCCACCCCGCTCACCTCAGCGGCGAAGTGCTTCCCACCAACAGTGTGCTCAGAGCCATGGGGCTCCTTCCCGTTGCCCCAGTGCAGGTGCAGCTGTGTGGCGCTGTAGCGGAACCGGAGGTCCTGGATGTGCAGGCCTGGGGGCAGCTTCAGCTTCACTGTGGGGAGTGGAGGGGCAGTCTTCAGAGTCAGGTAGACAGTACCTGCCCAGGGCCCAGACGGCGGGGGGCAGGCAGGGGGATGCAGCAAGGTGGAGACCAGGAATACAGCCTGCAGGCCAGAAACCTGGCCCCTTTCCTTGGGGACATCCCTATTTCTCTAAAGCAGTTCCAGTGGCACCATCACCTTCTTGATGCCCCTTCAGAAATGATGGCAGGCACGCTAATACTAGACCAATGGATGGATGTTTATTTATATATCCATGTATTACACACCTGGCTATGAAGACAGAACCTGTAAGGAAGTACCTCCCAAGCTGTAGAATTCTATAACAACACCACAAATAATTGCTATTTATAAAGCATCTACTCTATGCCAGATCCCCAAATACGTAATCTCTAGTCTTCACAGTACCCACCAATATGCCCATTTTCCAGGTGGAATCTCAAGGAGTTTAAAATTCTAACTCAGAGTCTCATGACTCATAAGTAGTCAAGCTGGGATTCAAATCCAGGTTTGTTTGACCCCAGAGCCAGGGTGTGCACCCACAATGAACTGTGTAGCTGTTTGGGTTCATGATGTCCGAGAATTCATTCCTGCACCACAGCCGATGGGCCAAGGGGCTCAGGCCTATCCCGTCTCCCATCCCAAGAGATACGCTTCTGAGAGGTGCTGCCCTGGCAGAACAGCCCGAGCCTGGGCCTCCAGCATTCCCTAGAGAGAGTAGTTTGGGCCTCTCCCGAGGGCTCCCCTCTGCCCCTCCCCCTGGGTGCCTCAGTGGAGCCCCCTCCCTGACAGACTGAAGAGGAAGTCAGGGAGCTGAGGGAAGCTCAGACATCCCCCTTCAGGTCTCAGGTCTCTCCCTCACCTGAATGGCCATTGTTGGTCAGGATGAATTGCTCATTGGCAGGCACATTGTAGCCTTGGAACTCAAGGGGCACAAGGCTGGCATCATACTGGAGGATGTCACTGTGCAGATCTATTGGGGACTGCAGCAGGCCCCCACATGATGGGTAGTTCTTCGACCAGCTCTTCTCCCTGTCAGGACCTGGAAGGAGAAATTCAAGCCCAAGATTTAATCAGTTTTCCATGGTTTGTTTGTTTTTCCCCTTGCCTTCTAATTCTGTGTTCAATGCAATCACTCATTTTCTTAATCTGCAGACGTATATTCTTCAAGGCCCAGAGCTCTCAGCCTACAGAATCAGGCCCAGCAAATGCCTCAAGACCACTTGTTCTTTAAGTGATGTGGGGAAAGAAGGACTAAAGCAGCCCCATGCCAGGGACTAGGGCCTACCAAGCTCTGTTTCATTTTATACATAGTTCATATTTTGACACAATACACATCCTCTCCACGTGAAGACCTGTTGACTTTCGGCAATTTAGTATCTGTTTCTTGAACACCTAGTATGAACCGGGATTGCCGTGGGTCTTGGGGCTGCCAAGGTGAACACAATACTAACACCCCTCTGGCCCAAGTTTGCATTCTAGTGGGGAAGAATTGAACAAATCTGCTGTGACGGCCAGGTTGGAAAAATTAGCGTCTGACTGACTAGAGCTCAAGGTAGGTCTTTGAGGCGAATGGATTTACAGGTATGATCTTCCTTAGAAGAAGCCCTTGAGGACATTGACTCTTGATACCCATGTCTAGGGTCAGTATACAACCCAACTTGATAGGGATGCTTGAGAAATATCAAGTATAGGCCTGGAGTCACAGAGCTAAATGCAAGGTGTATGCTGGGGAGAAAAGTATGATAATACTACAAACAAATTATTACAATATAATTGGCAAACTATCAGTGAGGAGGAACAGACTTAAAAACTAAATCCTCTAGGTCTCAGGCTACTTGCTAACTATCAGGTAATAGTCCTTCCTCTGGAAATGAAAATAAACAATCCAATCCCATGTTCAGATCAACTTTCCTACTCCAACAGGGAAAAGTCTTTCAAGAATGCAAAGCTATATTTAAAAGATTATCTCCCATGGTAATTAAATGGATTTTTCAGGCTGAGGTTTCTCCAGAAAAGCAAATAATTGGCATGTCATGGCTCCTTAGAGTAGAACCGTGATGCCCTGTGGGCTCTCTCGGAGTTGGGAACCAAGCATTGCCATCTGAGGTCCATCCATTAGTAATTTAGCACAAGGCAGGGTGTTAACTAGAGCAGAGGCGAAAGGCACACCACTTCTGGGAACCCTTCCACAGACAATAGCGCCATTCCACAAGTGTGTAAGTGTGTATACTGGCCCACAGAAGCCCGCTTCCCTACACCTTGTTCTCTAACGAGGGGACCTCATCTGCGAATAGGGAGACTCAGAAGCAAAACGTGGGTGCCCACATTCATTTAAAATGCTGCTGGGAGTTGGTCCTAGGTCTGGACACACAGAATAGAACTCTCCTAGTTTTTCAGGCTGTCAACCTTTGGATGTACCTTTTCAGAAATGGTAGAGCTTGAAGGAATTTCAGAATCTCCTGTCTAACCGTCACTGGACACCAGTTTTCTCACTTACATATGTCAGAGTTTCCACTGAACTATATTGTTTATATTTCTAAGGCCTCAAAGCCCTGGACTCAAGGCAAGTCAACTACACCAAGAAGGTGACTAGGGGGGAAGGCCACTGGAGAACAACAAAGCATTCACCCCAGGGGCAAACTGGAGGAAGAGAGTTATTTAGCGGAGGGCAAAACCAAATTCTTTAGAGACAGCAGGGAGCAGAGATGAAGCAATCCTGAGGTATCAACCAAACCCTGAGGGTCAGGAAGAGGACATCTACCAGGTGGCAAGCCTTCCAGAGTAAGGCTGCCTGCCAGTCCTTTTTCTACTCACAATACCAACCTGAGCCCACAGTCAAGTTGGCAGAAGCTGCCAGACAGGCATGGATGGAAACACAGGAAGTCAGGAGGCGCAGCAATGAGGAGACTTCTTGCATACGTGACTAAAGGGAACTGGGTTAGAAGAAGGACTTTCTTTTCTCAAAGCAAAGGTTCCAAAAGGTTTCAGGAGGAGAGCATTTTAGTAATAACTAAACCAAGAGCTCCTTGGGGACTGGGACATCTCATTTTCATCTCTGAGAACTCATGTTGTGATTTAGGGTCACATGAATATGCATTTAGGAAACGTTTTCCCAAAGAATGAAAGACCCCAAAGAATTGAGAGCTTGGGAAAGCGTTATCAGGAGGAATTTTTCTCTTTTATTTTGCCCTAAGTACTCTTTCTTGGATGTTAGGCTAAATGATGTATTGAGGGACAGGAAAGACTAAGGTTATAAAAGGCAGCAGAGTCAGTGGCAGCAAAATCGTCCTAGGAAAGAGAAGCAGCTATATTGGACCAGGAGAGTGCAGAGAACAAGATTCCAGTACCTGCTGTCCCACCACCTCAAATGCTCTTCCTACGAATGGCAGGACTGGACACCCTGTTCCGAAACATCCCTCTGGCTCTCAAGCCCCGAGATTTACTGAGATTACTAGGACTAAGCGCCTTCGCACTCTAGATCAGGCGAGTTTGAACGAGTTGGAGAGGGTTGCTCATGCCAAGGCAGCTCCTGGGCATGTGACAAGGTGCCCAGTGGGAACCAGCTGTGGGAATGAGGGCACAGGGCACCACTGCTCCTGGGGCTGGCTGGAGCGTGGCAGCGTCTGCTTCAGGAACCCGCCATGGGTCTTGGCTGCCGTCCACAGGGGGCGCTCGTCCTTGAGTGCCAGTCACAGGCTCTTAGGGCAGAGGGTCTGAAAAGCCTTCCCTGTTCCTCCTCCTGCAACTGCTGATGCCTCGGTATTTATTGTTCTTGTTATTATTTTAGCAGTCTTGGTCCTTACAACTCTACGGGGTCAGCAAGGCAAGGATTGACCATTTTATAGATGAAAAATTTGAGATAAGAGTTAGACTTTGGCTTAGTAACAGTTGTCTTGCCTGGGTCACAGGACTTACATGCCCTTCTGTTTCAATATTTACTCAAGAGAGTTTGTGCACCTGCCTCCTCCCTTTGCTGTGCTCTCCTTTAAGGCAAGGGCCATGTCTCATTCATCCCTGCCTTGCCCACAATGCCTGGCGCAGAGCAGGCCCTCACACGTTCGCTGAGCTGGATGCTCATGCTAATTTTGTGCTTTTCCTCACCAGGGAAGACACACCTGTGTTAATTCTCCTAGCCTCCCATTCATTCCCCAATATACTTTTTCCCCTCAAAAAAGAAAAGAAAAATGGCATCAGTTACTGTAGTTTAAAATTTACCCTCCTAGCTTTCTGGTTTACCTGCATGAGGATTTGTCCTGTTTGGGACCACTCATTGAAAAAGAAATGTGGTTGCTGCCCTATAGCCTGGGAGACGGCCTGCCAAGTATGAGGCTTCATGACAGTTCCTAGAACCCTCCACCAGCATATCGTAGCTGGTGTCTCCTTCTTGCACGGCTGGGGACATTATCAAAGCAGCCTCCATCTTTGAGGCTTGTAAGTGAGAGACAGGTTCCATGTGGGTGGGCACCAGAACAACCAGTCTCAGGATGTCAGCAGCAGACTCCTTTCTGCACCCAGACTCTGCCTGGGCAACGTGTGACTTGCCATCACTGTGACACTAGCCTCTTCGTTAGCAGCTACAGCTCAGGCTGTAACTTTTCAACTCAATCTCAGTTTTTCATACTCATGCCACGTGCTTTTCTGCCAGAAGACCTCCCTTAGGACGGCACTGACTTCCAAAAGAAGCATTTAGTTCCAGCTACCGTAAAAATGTGACTTGTCTCTTGAGTTTTGACTTTGCTTCTTCAGTTGGTTGGATTCCTCTCATGATCATGATAAAGGAGATCATGTGTTTCTCCCAGTTTGTTTTTCCACATAAAAATCACAGCATTCTGTCTTTCCAGTTCATGAATTTTTCTGCTGTAGGCAAAACAGAAGTGGACCGAATTTCTGTTTTGAAATGTAACAAGAGATTAACATGGCACAGCTCAAAAGGCCTCAAGCGATTTCTGACTGGGAATGAGGAGGCCCAGGGTGCAAGGCTTGCATTACCCAAGGACCAGAATTTTTTCAGGGAAAATTTCAAATGTATACAACAGTAGAGAGAAGAGCAAAATGAACCCCGCACCCCCCAGCTTCGACAACTAAAAATTCACAGCCAATCCAGTTTCATTTATCCTGTACCCACTTTCCCCTATCCCTGGCTAATTCTGAAATAAATTCAAATATATTTCATCTTTACATATTTTAGTATATCTCTCTAAAATATAAAATCTCTTAAAACTATAATACCATTACCACACTTAAAAAATGAACAATTAATTTCTTAATATTATCAAATCAGGACAATAAAAAATTTCCAATTATAACTTTTTAGTGGTTTATTTGTAAAATTCAGGATTCAAATAAGGTCCATGTATGACAGTTAGTTGATGTGTTATGGCCTACATCTCAATTTAATGGAGCAAAGCCTCATCAGGGAACAACTGGTCCCACTCTTCTGAGACTGAAAATCTCAAAGCCAGGCTGGCTCAGTCCATTCTTTGCACTCATTCAGTCATGGAGTCCCAACTTTCCGTCACTACCGCCACCTCCACTGCCCCTGGTTAGGCCCTTGCTGTGTCACACTGCAAAGGCTCCCTGCAGGGGAGGCTCCCTGTCCTCACCTCAGCCTTTCCTGTTAGCTGCCGGGCTCCTTTCTTGTTGCCAGGTTTAACCAGGTGTAGCCCTGCTTCTGTGGCTCCGCCCCATCGCTCCATTCCCTTTCTGTATAGCATGCCCTGCCCGATCCCAATAAAACAAAGCAGAACCATAGCCGTCTTCCATGGCCTAAAATCCTCAGCTCACCGAGGCCTTCAGAGGCCCTTACACCCTCCCCAGCCGGCCCTCATGGGCAGGCCGGCTCCCCCATCCTCAGAAAAAGCTATGTGCTTCACACTAACCTTCACAAATGTTCTTATGCCACAAATTCGCTTACAATGTCTTCTGTCCTCTTTACCTTTCCAAACCTTGTCCGCTCCTCAAAGTCCAGCTTGAGTCTTGCCAAAGCTACACCAGTGCTTTCTCTCTGCCCTAAACTCCTTAGGCAGTCTATGCAGAGTT